TTTATAAATTATTTGTACCTTAATTTGAACTATACTCCTCTGACTGTACTTAACATGGCTCTTTGGCTCCTAGTCTATATTAAAGGGCCCATGTCATGCTTTCCCGGTTATCACCCGTCCCCTTGTGTTATGAAGGTTTTTATGAATGTAAACGGTGTGCAGAGTCACAAACCCTCAAAGTACACCCTGTAGCGAGTAAAACTCTAACACAGAAAATACCTCCCCAAAACGCCTCGTTGGAGATACGTCACTGCCCATTTGATTCTTCCATTTCGTTCCGGGTACGGCATGATGTCATGCCGTACCCGGAACGAAATGGACCAATCCGTGGAGCCGTTACGTTACGTCCGCGGAGCCGTTACGTTAAGCCCCCGCTGATTGGTCCAAATTGACCAATCCACGGACTTCCTCACACACACATCTGTGTGCAGGCAGCTCAGCTGATTTCTCCTCCCTGGCTGCAGGCTGATAACAGACAGTTGGGATCGCGGTGATATTCTCTCTGCGGACCCATTCTCTCTGCGGACCCATTCTCTCTGCGGACCCATTCTCTCTGCGGACCCATTCTCTCTGCAGACCCATGCTCTCTGCGGACCCATTCTCTCTGCGGACCCATGCTCTCTGCGGACCCATTCTCTCTGCGGACCCATTCTCTCTGCGGACCCATTCTCTCTGCGGACCCATTCTCTCTGCGGACCCATTCTCTCTGCGGACCCATTCTCTCTGCGGACCCATTCTCTCTGCGGACCCATGCTCTCTGCGGACCCATTCTCACTGCGGACCCATTCTCACTGCGGACCCATTCTCTCTGCGGACCCATTCTCTCTGCGGACCCATTCTCTCTGCGGACCCATTCTCTCTGCAGACCCATTCTCTCTGCAGACCCATTCTCTCTGCAGACCCATTCTCTCTGCAGACCCATTCTCTCTGCAGACCCATTCTCTCTGCAGACCCATTCTCTCTGCAGACCCATTCTCTCTGCAGACCCATTCTCTCTGCAGACCCATTCTCTCTGCAGACCCATTCTCACAGCGTTTATCAACCTTTTTCTTACTCAATATCAAGCCACACTTATTGTTTTTACTTCGGCTGTGACTTTGTGTGTGCTCAGGATGAGTTTGGCTGTGTTTCGCTATGTATCCTAAACAAGGAAACAACACCTCCACGGAGCTCAGCGCGATTCACAACGTCCCGACCAATCAGAGCACACTGTGCTCACAGGGAGGGTGGGGGCTGGAGCTATTGGAGCTACAACGAGCCGTTAAAGGCAGAGAGGGAAATTCAGTGAATACACGTAGTTTACAGAGATGCTGTTTGAGAAAGCAATGTGAGTTTGGAGAGATGCTGTATGAGAAACCAATGTGAGTTTGGAGAGATGCTGTTTGAGAAACCAATGTGAGTTTGGAGAAATGCACAATATAAATCTATTCTAGTAGACCTCAACAATGGAGTTATGATCAGTGGAAATGGCCATGACATGGGCCCTTTAACTTGTAAACATAACAACACATTTGTTTGGACCGTTTGGAAGCTATCACTTTTGTCCGTTTTAAAACAGGCATCTCCTCATGTATAGACGGCATATATACTGTATATTAGGCTTACGGTGTATACACACAATTATTAAAACAAAAAAAGCTGGATATATGGCCTTGAGATTCATACCTCTTTTTATTTTCAGGGTTTTTGTTTTGTTCCAATGTTCTGTAAATGTATTTAATACTCATTAGAGAAGCATTGGTTCAAATGCTAAATCAAAAACAAGTCTAAAATGAATCTTTAGTAGAGTCTTGTGATTGCAACCCGCTGTTATCTTGTTCTTCAAATGTTGATTCATTTAATTTATTCACAAACTGTTTAAACATACAGGAACTATCATAAGACACAATGTAGATGTGTAAATGGGAAGCATGAAATAGGGGCCCAGACCCTACACACAAATTATTTACATTATATCCAATCCAACTTTATTTATAAAGCACTTTAAAACCTCCAGACCAAAGTGCTGTACAGAGAGATATATACAATCACACAGCTCAGCTCACAAAACATAACAATAAGTATAAAATCACATAAAAGATACGAACACAAAACCAGAATAAACGTAACAATTACAAAATAAAAATAAAAACATAAAAAACAACCATATAGTACAAACATCAGACCACTGAAAGCAAATAAAAGCAACAATCTACTTGGTTCTGAATGCTAAGGAGAAGAGGTGGGTTTTAAGACGGGATTTAAAAACAGACCGTGTGGGAGCCTGTCTGATTAGCAAGGGCAGGTCGTTCCACAGTTTAGGTGCGGCAGCAGAGAAAGCACGGTCCCCTCTGCGCTTAGACTTTGTTTTTGGCACCCTCAGGAGCAACTGATCAGCTGACCTGAGAGTGCGAGTGGGCGTGTAGCTGTGTAAGAGAGGTAGGGCGGGGCCAGGCCATTGAGGGCTTTAAAAGTAAATAAAATAGTTTTAAAATGAATCCTCGAATGAACGGGCAGCCAGTGGAGTGAAGATAAAATGGGGGAATGTGCTCACGTGTGCCAGTTAGGAGCCGGGCTGCTGCATTTTGCACCATCTGCAGGCGAGCAAGGGAGGACGCACTTATCCCAATATATAGTGCATTACAATAATCCAAGCGGGAGGTGACGAAGGCATGGATTACGGTTTCAAAAAGGTCACTATTTATAAAAGGCTTTATTTTGGCTTGCTGCCTGATGTGGAAGAAGCTGTTTTTAACAACTGCCTTGATCTGGATGTCCAGCTTGAGTTCAGGGTCCATCTTTATCCCAAGATTTGTGATGCTAGGCCTGGTGGAGTGGCCCAAGGATACTACGAACATGTCTTGAAATGGAAACAGTGAATGTATTATACAGAAACATTTACATGCTAAAAACTCCTAACACTAACCAAATAACCCGAAACTACTAAATGGTCCCAAAACATTACATTCAGTATCGTTAACGTTGGTTTGAAATGGGTCATATATCATAGACCAGGAAACATAATGGTACAAATGAATACAGTAAGATCTTAAGAAGTACCAAGACATTTAGTGTATTCAAAGTGTCAGTTTCCCCTTTCCAGTAGTGTGTTACATAGGTTTTGGTGCATGTCAATGGTCTGCAAAGGTTCAAATCTCTCCCACACACTGAATTATGCAATAACGATATAATGTACAATTCCGTGGAGAAAACTTCCCATTAATACAAAAAGGCAAGGCAAGTTTATTTATATAGCACATTTCAACACAATTCAAAGTGCTTTACAAAAATGAAAGGCATTGAAACATATTATAAAATGATATCTAAAAGCACTCATTTAAAAGCAAAGATACATGAATTAAAGTTACAGCGCAGTGTGAGATACACACATCTGAAATGTTAAGCTCTGACTTTCAATCAATGCTAACTGTTTTTAGCAGAAATAGTTTAATATCACCTCCCTTTCTTTCTACTTTCTTGTTTAACTTGTCCTTTAGTTATTTCAAGTGTTTCATGCTAAACCAACCCCCCTTTGGAACATTATAATCTGACCCCATGGTACCTTTTAGTTTTCGCCGAAACTATTCCCCTTATTTATTTTTAAATACACATAGTTAAGTTTACCTTGTCTTTCTAGGACTTTTTTGGTGTCCTCCGTGAACCAGGGTCTTGAAACCAAAACGGCACACGTAGGGGACTTCAACCGCCTACGAGGGGACTTTAACCCCAATAATGACTTTAACTTTGGGGGGACTCAACACAATTCAAAGTGCTTTACAAAAATAAAAGACATTAAGAAAATGGCATTTAAAAAGCAAAGATAATAAAAGTTACAGTGCAGTTTAAGATATGAACAGAGTTGTAACGCGTTACAAAGTAATGGTATGCCCATTATTTTGAGTTTGTCCGAAGAAAGGACAGGAATGTGACGGTGAGGTGCAAACTGTGTCCAGGCCAGAAGCTTTTATCCACTGCTGCAAACACAACGTCAAACCTCAACAAGCACCTGCAAAGACAACATGCTAACGTGAAGCTAATAGCTAAGGAGGACCTCCGAATCCAGAGTGAGGATGTCGAGCAAAGTAACACTGTAGGTGCGCCGCATTTGCGCTTCAGATGAGGCTCCCTCCGCAAAATGAAGCACCCTCCGCAGTCTGCGTGATCTGCCTGTAGGGAGGGGCGGCCCTGCGAGTAAAGTAACGAGTAAAGTAATGCCTTACTTTATGTAGAGAGTAACGAAGTAATGTAATATATTACTTTTTTTGAGTAACGACCCCATCTCTGGATATGAATATATCAATTAAAAGCAGCGGCAAAAAGAAAAGTCTTCAGCCTGGATTTAAAAGTAGTCTTCGTTGCAGCGGACCTGCAGGTTTCTGGGAGTTTGTTCCAGATATTTGGAGCATAATAACTGAACTTCTCCATGTTTAGTTCTGACTCTGGGGACAGAAAGCTGACCAGTCCCTGAAGACCTGAGAGATCTGGATGGTTCATCATTTAGCAGGAGATCAGAAATGTATTTTGGGCCTAAACCATTCAAAGCTTTATAAACCAGCAGCAGTATTTTGAAGTCTCTGACACTCAGGAAGCCAGTGTAAAGACTCGTAAGACTTCATAAGGTACTCTGAAAGAAGGTTATAGATCTGAATGAGACCTGGCGCTCTTTCTAAATGTCCTCCTCCCCTTGATCGACACTTGTGAAACTTGCAGAGCCGAAGCAAATTCTTCGGCTGGGTGAGCAGTAATGTTCGCTCAAAAGGTATCAACGGCACAATAAAACTCCCAATTGTACTTGACGGCTGGGGCTGGTTCTGCTGAGAGAGACACCTCACAGGTCATTAATGTCGGCTTCATTTATATCACACGCAAAGATGAACCTATCTGGGTGAGGAGAACTTTAACGAGGACTACGTTATATTGTAATTGCTGCTGCCTGATCTTTGGATGGTTGTATCTATAGACGTCTTTATGTACTCGAGCCAGTGCTAAATGATTCTCCTCCTGTACTTCTACGTTTATAGAGAAAAAAGAGGTGACCCAGAGTCTGGAGAACTACACCTCCAAGTGTCCGGGAGGGATGGAGGTCATCACGCTCCCTGACGGCCTGAAGCTCCCCCCCGTGCCCTTCACTAAGCTCCCCATCGTACGGTAAGACACAGCGGGGCTAAATGTTGCTTTCATGATCTGAATACTTCATTTATCCCAGGGGAAATTGGGTTTGAGGACAGATGATCCATTTAAGACTGGAAAAAAAACGTTAAATGCCCGATAAAATAAAATGTAAAACTCCCTCTCTGGCTTGTTACAAACCAGACATTACCTGTGCTGTAAGACGCCCTACGTGTGTGTGTGTGCACTCCATACTGAGCATATTATTAGTTTCCATTTTGGTGACGGGTGTTAAATTGAAAGCGGTGATGTAATCCAAATGTGAACAACTAAGGCTAAAAGGTGGACAGACCATGATGGTGCCTTTTCTTGAGTTTCTGGACTTCAAAATTACATTAAGAAATGTACGTTAAGATGCAGTTTTTTTCTACCGTAAAATGTAAAAACAATATTTTGATAAACATATATTAATGTTAACATGTGCACATTGTAACCCTAATCCTACACTATAGGTAAAAGACTACAGTAAATGTTCCTTATATAATCAGAACACTTTATTTATTTGGGTTTTAAGACGGTTGTAAAAGAAAAATGTAATGCAAATATTTATATAAACACAAGAAGTTCAAGTAAGAACGTACAATTAAATAATTCAGTATCAAATAATATTTAAATTTAACATTTATATAGCCCAATGTCATAAAACACTTTATGTGTGTCTCGGGTTCTTTACAGATCAACAAACATCGACAATAGCAGCTTTCACACCAAGTACTTTGCCGTACTTTGTTCCCAGCACTTAGTTCCCAGCATTTAGTTCCCAGCACTTAGTACCCAGCACTTAGTTCCCAGCACTTAGTTCCCAGCACTTAGTTCCCAGCACTTAGTTCCCAGCACTTAGTACCCAGCACTTAGTTCCCAGCACTTAGTACCCAGCACTTAGTACCCAGCACTTAGTACCCAGCACTTAGTTCCCAGCACTTAGTTCCCAGCACTTAGTGCCCAGCACTTAGTGCCCAGCACTTAGTGCCCAGCACTTAGTACCCCCATGGAACTAAGAGCCGATCACGTTCACACCGGAATAAGTTCCCTGAGGGAGGATTACGCAAATGAAGCCGCTGACGTCACTTCTTCGTCTTCTTCTGCTTTGGGTTTACTGGCAGGGCGCAAACCACTTCACGGTGTATACTGCCACCCGAAGTCCCCGGCCGGAAGACCCCGGAGTTGGGGAAGGCTTCAGTAGAAGCTGCTGGGACTCCCAGCAGCTTCTACTGAAGCCTTCCGAGTAAATCTCCAGAACGCCGACACCTCCTCATCTCCACCGCTCCCATGTTTTTTTTTGTGTTGCCATAAGTTATTCTCTCTCCGTTGGTGCGCGGGGCTAATGCTAATGCTAATAATGCTAATGCCAGCAAATACAATGGCGGCTTCAAAAAACCTTTCAGAGTTGTACGGGGCGTGGTTTGCAATTCGCCCAGCCAATCAGAAATTGGAACTTTTTTCTCCCCAGGATAGTCCCACCTCTCTAGCAGGCACTAAAATGAGGGTAAAAGTTCTCTGAACTAAGTTCTCTTTTTGGTGTGAACGCAAAATTCCAGGCACTATCGGAACTAAACGGGAAAAGTACTCTGGTGTGAAAGCGCCTAATGTAAAAACATGGCATACAATTACAAGATAGATGTAAAATACGAATAAAATACAATTTAAAAATACCATACAATTCAGGACACAGGACGACTTGAAAGAAGCCCTAAAAAATATATATATATTTGTATAAACCATAAAAAGGTACAGTAAAATGTCCAATTTAAAGAAAAAATGTATACAAATATAGGAATTGAACATAAGTGTGCACATTGTAACCCTAACCCTGTAATATATAACATGTACGATACATACAGGTGTGTATTAGTATTCATACGATTCCTAATTCTTGTCGAATGTTGGCTCAATTTTTTGTTTTGCTTTGTAAATATCATCTGAATAATAGGCTACATTTTGAAGTGATTATACCATTGATGCATAAAAGTGAGGCGGTTTGTCAGTAGTTGGCCATTACCGTTTAATTCTTGCATAAAAAAGCCTTCGATATATAATTTGGGGCTTTTAATGTCAATTGCTTCGAGAGGAGGCTTTCCACTAATCTTGTTTTATCACCACATTGATTTAAAAAAACACATTTTTTCCAATGGATTAATTCTCCTCTGAAATGGTTGAAAAACAAACATCTATTCCCAAGAGCAACACAAACAACCTTCCTCACTTTGTATGCAACATTTTGATGTTAAACCTGGCTAAATATGGGTAATAATTGAATATCTTGTTAAAACAAATAGAAAAGGGCAAATAGAAAGTTCGTCGGGGATCGTTTTTGTTGTGGATTTGGTGCTTTATTGAAATTATACAGCAGCTTTATTACAAAACGTGTCATCCCAACACCGGTTTTAACAGTGAAACATGCTTTTAATCCCAAAATGTATGACTTTATTCTGCTCATGCTGCAGTCAGTCGGCCTTTGTTGAAGCAGAATTTGCTGCAGAGTTGGAAACGGACCAAGACAAACGCGGCTCTGCCAAAGAAGTAGTTAACTTTCTCTAAAGTTCTCCGCCTGCCTTTGACCTTCTGATCGTAGAAGTCATTATTGCTTAACAATAAAGACGTGGACGTATTAATGAGCAACAGTAACTTCCCCAGCAAGCTGCAGGCTGTGTGCAGGAGTCCTTATCTACTAGATTGCATTGACAATATATCTGTGAATGAATTAATAGGTTGCTGAAACTGAGGAGCACACACTTTCTTTAAGTGTCTGTTCCTGGGTTTTTATCGGACTCTGTAACCTTAAACAAAGACTGGTATTATAAATCTCCTGCAGTGTGCTGCAATCTCAAATATTCATCATGGAATAAACTGCGTAAAGATGCAGCAAATATGCAAGGGTGTGATCTTCCTTTTTGGTGTGAAACGTGCCTTTAAAGGTCCCCTATTATACTGTTTTTCATCAATATATTATAGGTCTCGGATACATACAGAATATGTCTCAGAAGTGTTTGGCTCCAAACACCAAACAGACACTTTGCGGTACTTAGTTCCTGGAACTAAAGAGTAGTTCACACCGGAATAAGTCCCTGATGGAAGATTACGCAAATGAAGCCGCTGACGTCACTTCTTCTTCTTCTGCTTTGGGTTTACTGGCAGGCCGCAAACAACTTCACGGCGTATACTGCCACCCGGAGTCTGGCTTCAGTAGAAGCTGCTGGGTCGCGAGAAAATCGCCAGAAGCGCAGACACCTCCTCATCACTCCACCGCTCCCATGTTTTCTGTTGTGTTGCCATAAGTTAGTCTCTCTCCGTTGGTGCGCTGGGCTAATGCTAATGCTAATAATGCTAATGCGAGCAAATAAAATGGCGGCTTCACAAAACTTTTTTGAGTTTTTACGGGGCGTGGTTTTTGCAATTCGCCCAGCCAATCAGAAATTGTTAGTGTGGCCGACACACCCACGAACCTTTTTCTCTAGCAGGAACTATTTGGGGGTGAAAAGTTCCAGATCTTTTTGGTGTGAACGCAAAATCCCAAGAACTATCGGAACTATTCCTGGGAGAAGTACTCCGGTGTGAAAGCGCCTATTGCAGCATTACCCATAATCCCCTCTGTTTCAGCCCTGTTTCCAAAGTGCTGATTCTCTGTCTGTTACTTTAGATGAAAATAAGGAGCCCCTCCCCACGCCCCTCTGAGAGAGATTTGGTTACAAAGAACTCAATGGTGCTCTAGGAGGAGATTCAGGTGATAAGGGGGGGGGGGGGGGGGGGGGGGTTACCTTGGTTGCTGATTGGCTAATGGTTACACAAGACAAAACATCGTTATGACATCATAAAGTGGCCAAAATCTGATCAGCTCATTTTCAGACAGGTTTTTATAGAAATGGATCAAAAAGAGAGAGAATCTTTGTTCCTGAAACTTTCAGAGTCTCTTTCCACAGAGGGGACACATGTTGATGAAGAAGAGACATGAAGAAGAGGGGACACATGTTGATGAAGAAGAGACATGAAGAAGAGGGGACACATGTTGATGAAGAAGAGACATGAAGAAGAGGGGACACATGTTGATGAAGAAGAGACATGAAGAAGAGGGGGACACATGTTGATGTAGAAGAGACATGAAGAAGAGGGGACACATGTTGATGTAGAAGAGACATGAAGAAGAGGGGACACATGTTGATGAAGAAGAGACATGAAGAAGAGGGGACACATGTTGATGTAGAAGAGACATGAAGAAGAGGGGACACATGTTGATGTAGAAGAGACATGAAGAAGAGGGGACACATGTTGATGAAGAAGAGACATGAAGAAGAGGGGACACATGTTGATGAAGAAGAGACATGAAGAAGAGGGGACACATGTTGATGTAGAAGAGACATGAAGAAGAGGGGACACATGTTGATGAAGAAGAGACATGAAGAAGAGGGGACACATGTTGATGAAGAAGAGACATGAAGAAGAGGGGACACATGTTGATGTAGAAGAGACATGAAGAAGAGGGGACACATGTTGATGTAGAAGAGACATGAAGAAGAGGGGACACATGTTGATGTAGAAGAGACATGAAGAAGAGGGGGGACATGCTGATGTAGAAGAGACATGAAGAAGAGGGGACACATGTTGATGTAGAAGAGACATGAAGAAGAGGGGACACATGTTGATGTAGAAGAGACATGAAGAAGAGGGGACACATGTTGATGAAGAAGAGACATGAAGAAGAGGGGACACATGTTGATGTAGAAGAGACATGAAGAAGAGGGGACACATGTTGATGTAGAAGAGACATGAAGAAGAGGGGACACATGTTGATGTAGAAGAGACATGAAGAAGTGGATTTTGCACAATAGGTGACCTTTAATAAATGTGTGAAATGATGCTTACACTTGTCATTGTTGTGCTTTTTCCACTCTAGATCAGTGAAGCTGCTCAATCTGCCCCTCAGCCTGCGTCCTCACAAAGTGAAAGGCCTGCTGGGACAGAACATGTCCACCGCCAGCCCCTTCATCTACTCTCCCATCATCATGCACAACAGAGGAGAGGAGCGCAGTAAGAAGATCGGTAAGCCCAGACTTTGTTTTTTTTTTGTATCCTTGCAACTTGTTGGGGTATCACACCAAGCCCCCAGGAAGTGCGCTGGACTCTGAAGAAAATATTCCTAGTGGCCAAACGGCGGTACTACAAATTCCATATCAGTCCGTGACGTCACTGGGCCCAGAAATACTTTTCCCCATTGACTAACATTGGGAAAGAGACGTCTGTAAATCAGTGGATAATCTTTTTTAAACTAAATAAACTACCCAGCACGAACACTTGTATAGCCCTTATTAGAATCATTAGGTTCTTAAAGTTGTAAAATGCGCTAAAAGCCGAATCCAGATTTATTTTCTCTCTCCATTCATTCTACTGAAAAATCTTTATTAACATAACATTTAACCGTTATGTTATGGGGATGACACTGGATGGCGAGTACAGTGTCTCCACTTCAGGCTTATCTCTGTTGCCTTGTCAAAATCAATGAGCGTCCCACAAGGTTTTACAATCCTAAAATAATAATAGATGGATGCTATCGGCCAGCTGCTGGCATCTCTCTCTTATGGTAGCGGACTTCAAAGTCTGAAAGTATATTTAATCTACACACCTGTTCAGAGATATGTATATCAATGTCTTCAGAGTTATATTTTGTAGTAAGTAATTACCTGGGGAATGTTTTTGCAATTTTAATGCAGTACACATTGACATTGAATGTTATCATCGCTACTACCTCTGCTTTTACCACTCTTATTTATTTATTGTGTCTATTTTTTACTGCAGTGAGAGTTGCCAAATACATTTCGTTGTACTTTGTATGATGACAATTAAAGGTGGGGTAGGTAATTTTGGAGAAACCTGCTCGAGATCGCTAGAATTTGAAAATACACAGCCGGAAGAAATCTGCCACTTCCTCACAGAGCCCCTCCTCCAACACACACGAACGCGCACATGACCAATGAGGGCACGAGATAAGTTTGTGCCCCGATGGAAGGCTGACAGGCAGGTAGGCCATCCAGTTATTTTAGCCGGGCCGGCTCAGATGATTGGTCGTGCTTTTTACAGTACTACAGCTTCCACAGATGATATTTATTTATGGATTTTTTGTCAAAGCACTTCAGATATTCATTGCTATCGGGATGTTAAGAGCATTCCATGGAATATAACAAGTATCTCGAGCCGGTTTCTCAAACGTACCTACCCCACCTTTAAGATATATTCTATTCTACTGGGGCTTGCAAATGGTCCGACACGGAGTTAATGTACACAAAATATCCGAACAAAATTCAAATCAATCATTTGAATGAATTTTTAGCCAGGGAATATCTTTGATGTAAGAAATGTTTTTTACACTAGGATCAAAACAGTTATTTTTGCATGTTTCTCTTTATTTTCCTCTGTTTGTTATACATGCTTTGTAATGAAATCTGATTTGGGGTGAACTATTGACACGTCTAAAAACAAAAACAACATTGGATTAATACTTTTTTTCCGAGTTTGTTCTGCTCGTATATTAATGTATTTTATTCCATTGTGGCTTCTCGCCTGTATTCCTGTCATTGCGTCCTTGTAAACAAAGCCATCTTCACTGGTACCACTTGATAGTATATCTCCGTCTCATAAAGGCCTGATGCAGCGTATTCTTCAATTAGTACAGATGGAGCCTCTTATTTTGGACCCCAGCATACAGCTTCCTGCCGACTGCCAGCCAGTTGCCAGCCAGTTGCCTGCCAAAGACCAGTATTCAGGAATGTTAGGCCCTCCCACTATTCTCCAATTTCAGGGTTTAACCAGGAGATGGCGCTATATATTAAATAACTAAGACTTAGTTTTTCACAATAGAAAATGCAGATATTATATAAAAAACTAAAGTTAAAATCTTGTTTTTAATGCCCCAAGAGCAATAACATCTTGTCACAAGCTTTTTGGAAGAAAAAGACTGACTCAAGAGACCTGTAGTTGACTAATTACAGGCCTCAATAAAGTTCTGCCATTGGTTGTGAAAAACAACGGTGGACATAGTGGAAAGTGAAATTGAGATTGTCGAATTTAATAAAAATACAAAATAATGTATCTGTGTACGTGTTTTACGATGTGATCTGCACTTATCAAACATCTAATTAAGGCGAGACACCCCAGGTGAATAGGGTATTTTTAACTTAAAGATATCAGCTAAATATTTCTCCAGTTAATTACTTACAATAAGGCAATTGTTTTTTGTATTACAAGTTTTCTGAAATAGCATGTTTAAATATCCAAATGAACCATTACCTCATGAAATATGCGCATATTTTAACACATTTCAGGAACCGAAATCTGAACTTTGGATAAAGCCAGGATCAAAATTATTGTTTCATTTTGTAGTCATATTAGTATCTAAGGCTTTTACAGAAGGGATTTTGGATATCTCTTTGTATCACTCCATAAATCAGAAAATACTGTCAACAGCCCTAAAATATCAATTTTCACCATGTTTTTAGGTATAAAATGTTATATAATTCAGGCTATGAATTATATATGACCAAACCCTTCTGTAAAAGCCTTCATAATATTGATAGGAATATAACTGGAAGGTTTGGTGTATGTAACTGCTGAGTGATTCTACAATTTAGGGTACATTCCATGTCCATTGATGTCCATTGATGATAATTATAATTATTCTAACTATTTTCTTCAAAAATATCATATTTTGCCTATTATTGGAAAGCATGTTATAATATCACACAAACATTATGTGCATCCTATGCTTTATTTAGCTTGAAATGTGTCATGATGTTCTTAAATTGTCAGTTTTTGCTATGTCCGTTTTTCAGTTGAGGGTGTCTTGGATTCAAAATAATGAATAAAAACCATTAAAGTAAATTTAAAAAATGATTCATTTATTTCAAAAGTCTAAATACTAAAGAATAATAACATATTTTTAATTGATTTCCCCCTTTAAATAATTTAAATATCTTAATATATGAATGTCCGCAAAAGTTCTGTCAACTATGTTACTAACAGAACTTCCCCCTTTAACTCAAAAATTGTTTGTCCCAATACCATGTCACCAGCATCACATGATGCCATGTTCCTCTTTGGCAGACATTTTGAACACACTGTGGTGATTGTCCTCTACATTTTTACAATATTTTATGTATAATAGCACATGGTCAATTAATATACTCATTGACAATCAACAATGTTACGTACATTGTTATGGTTTACAATTGTTTAATGATTTTAATTCAATTATATGTGCAAATGTGATGTTAACCTGTTCAAGAAAATGACATGTGGTCATCCAGGCAAGGCCTACCATTGAAATGATGGGTCAAAATAGGGAAATTGTCAACTAGGTTACCTGTCAACTGAGTTACCCAGTACTGTAATAACTGTAGTAACTTAGTTGACAGGTAACCTAGTTGACAATTTGTACGACATGTAGACGTCATTACACATCATTATCAATGGAATTTTGCACTTCTGCCTTGAAATGAACATAGTGCTGATGGTTAATAATGTGTCCAGTCAACTATGTTATTTGCGTCAAATGTTTGACTTTCATTGTCAACTATGTTGCACCTCATTTTTTCAAATTTAAAATATCTAAAATAGTGCTTCTGATATCCTTTATAGTATAATGTATATCTACACAGGTTGGAGTTTTACATGACATCTCTTAAAACTATCAAAATGACCTGTATGGTAGTTTTATAATACAAAATATCCCTAAACTTAATGACAGTGCTGAACATATCACATGAAAAAACAAAACTTTAATACAATTATTTTTTAAACTTTAAAAAATCTTTGGATATATGGTAGAATAGACTCAAGAGCCTTTCAAATTTGATTTTACTTGAAGTGCAGGACTTAATCAAATGATTGTAATGACATCAAGTTTGTCCGTAACATAGTTGACAAACTGAGTAGTGAAAACATCCTTTCCCTTAAAATAAAAAAATATATAAAAATGTTTAAGCTTTGCAACTAGTGGATATGTTACACTGAGGAATATACTAACTTGAACCACTGATTGTTCTATCTATACATTTTATTTGGCATTAGTAAATAATTATGCACATTTACAGATATTTTACATGATATGAGTGATAACACGTGTTATAAGGGCTATTTCGCACAATAGGTGTGCCTTGAGATTTTTACTTGTCCTTTGGTGTGCCTTGGGCACAAAAAGTTTGGGAACCACTGCTGTAGAGAAATGTAAACGTTCACCATCCCCCACCCGCCTACTGTATGTTGCTTTTTGACATGTAAATGGGTAACTACCCCCCTCTGAGTGAATACCTGTTGTACCTGTCCGGGGCTAAGCCCATAGGACGATGCTCTGATGTCATCACCCTCGCACATTGGTCATATGTTTACAAAAAACGATGTTAACACTTTCTCGTTCTTAATATATGCTATATTTACGGTCGATATGTGTTGAATTTACTTTAAAATAGCAGATCACTGTGATTCACTTCTCCGCGGCTCCTCCGTGCAGAGAGGCCCCCCCCCGTTGACAATTCACGAGCGTCTAACTCTCTCCCCCCTGTGAAGGGATATCACAGGGGGGGGTTGGGACACACACATTCCGATGGCCAATTCGTTTTAAACAAAGAGTGGGGTGGGGACTGGTGAACGGTATGGTCAATGTTTGTAAACACTGTGACATTTTGACTTTATTTGATCATTTCAGTTAAAAACTAACGTTCATATTTCATATTACTGTTTTGCCTGGCTGGACCTGTAATTTACAGGAAAGGAGTGCACGCTACTAAAGAGACACGCTACCATGGAAACCAAACAATGGTGTTGCTGTATTGAAGTCCGAGTGGAAACAGTCATATTTGGAGCGTTATGTTAGAATGAAACAGCGAGGTCGTGACTCACAAAAAAAAAGTGTTACTTCACTAACTGTAAGCTTGTCACTCAGAGTAACCTACAGTTAACTTAACTGTTGGAAAAGAAAGATCAGAGTTAGGAGTGTGAACACACAGCTGAGAGCTGCCGTTTCATTCTGACTGTTTAAAAAACGGTAACAA